CCCCCCCCCCCCCCCTCTGCTAATTTCTGACAAGTCCCTTAATTGAAATTAAAACTGTGCCTGTCTAAACAAGGAATTTAGAATTCAAAGGTGACGTCATCATCACTCCGTAATTTGAATATATTTTCCTTTTAGGCGAAACGCGATAGGTCGAACTTTGTAAGTGTTGAAGTTCGTTAGTCAAAAAGGAGGAACGTTACATGAAACTACTCACGCAATATTAAATTAGTATCGGCGGTAGGTTTTCAATGAATCAAAAATATACAGTCAAACAAACAGAGTTGAGCGATGACTTGAGGGAAAAAAGGGACTTTTACGTCGTAAACCAATCCGGCAACGGACCTGTACATATTTTTGATAAACTACATGGTCACTCGTGACCTAAAGAGTGTGAGGCGGTTTAAGACACAGCACCCTAGGTCCTTAATATGTGGTAAATTTTAATCAATTGCAAATAATCAGAATACCTGTTTATGCATGACATGGCAATCTGATGGGCAACCATGTTGCAAAAAGCAATATTATGCCTCAAACTACAATCGAATACAACAACAATCAACTTGGAAACTATGAAAATGTATTCAAAATGAACAATACGCTATCCTTTATTAACTTTAGGGCAGCTAATAAGATGTAAGCCGTATTTAGCTCCAGTTTCTTTTTCCTTTTTTTTTTTTGCAAGAATGTTGTTTTCCCAGCCCAGGCTAAATATTCTTATTTTTCCTGCCGATTTCAGGCTGAAAATATTCTTGTATTATTCTTTAATTGAATTTAAACAGAAAAACATTATCATGATACTTTTTAATTTGGGGGTTTATTTTATTTCCTTCGTGCTGTGTACTGTACATAACTTTAACATCATGATGTACCATTCATCAAACTGTCATTAGTATCAACATTTGGCTATAGTAGCTAGTGCAGGTTTTTTTGTTTTGTTGGCTAGTTTTACCGGTTGGATTAAGTTCGTCAGTCAAATGGAAGTAAGTTATTCGAAACTATTGACGCGATATCAAAGTAGAAATAGCAGCTGGTTTGCGGTGAATCGTAAACACAAAGTCAAACAGAAAAGAGTTAAGCGATGGTTTAGAGGAAATCCTACATGTTTGCTGGACTCAAGTGAAACATACGCACATGTTTTGAGTAACTACGACTTACGACGAGTCTTCTGAGTTGAGAGAAGGAACTTGTTCCCCATAAAAAAAACTTACTAGCTAAGCTTTTAGAACATAGACCGACACAGTAGGTAGTTAGTCTCACTAGTGTGCGCGCCAAAAGGGGAATCAGGGTCCCAGACGTTACTAGCGGAGATCGTGGAAACTGGGGATAACAATTGCTACGTGTCACAGCACCATGTTCTATATTGTGAAGAAAGCTTAGGAAAGATTGACACAGAGTTGTCGAGCTTTGCCGGAACGGGGCGGTCCACGAATTCTATCGGATCGCTTGAAAACGTTGATAACTTTGGAACAAGTGCATACTTCAGTGAAAACTTCGATACTGAGGCTATAAACTGGTCGGGCGTTGAAAACTTTCACTGTATGAAAATGAGTCTTGTAATGAGCATGCGGTTTATTTTTGGAGATGATTGAAATGACGCGCCATATTCATCACGTTTTTACTTTCTGACGATGATTTGTATTTGTACACGCGTACTCAATCATCGTCGAATACGATGTAAGAAGTAAATATTCTGACGAATACTCGACCTTCGATAAAGTGGGAAGTGAAAACCTTTTAGCGAAGAAATCCTTCTTCGTGTAGAATTAATCGCCTCCTCATTTCTTATCTAATCTCCAAGCAAGCGAGAGTTGCTGCTTTTAAGAGCGTTCTTGTTACTTGACAAATCATGCTGTCATATGTGCCAAAGTTTAATAAGTTGCAAATGATCAGAATGTTTAAAGTATTCCTTGTAGTCCCAACTTTATGAGACCAGCCATCATGACGTGGCAATTCGATAAGTGATCATGTCGCAAAAAAGCAAAAGCCTTTAACTACAATCAACTTGGAAACTAATGATTCCATTTTTTTTTGAAAGCCTGTTAAAAGCAATATACTATGCTTTTATTAATTTAGAAACTAAAACTCGATAGTTCGTTACAATCAATTCATCAGAGGCTGCTAAACAAACCCTAAGTCAGCTTAAGTCATACTAATACCAGTTTCTTCAATTTATTATTAAAGAACGTTTATCATTGCTCACAAATTAATGCGTAGTAAATAAACAAGAACAAACTTTTCCTTTTAACTAGTTAACATGGAAAAACAATATGTAGGCAAGAGAAGGATACATGGATCTCTTTTAGCTTAAGAATCGTGAAAAAGTAACGATTTTCCTTAATTTTTTATTTATTTCTTTGTTGTTAACGCTGTTGTTCTGTTACGCATAGTAGGTTATTATGATCCTTTATCACTTTGAACTCGCTGTTACCCCTCCCTCCATACTTGTCAGCCTGAGGACCCTTGGCAATTTCCCCGCCTTCTTACGGATGTGTATGATGCCTATATATTCAGTACCAAGTTACCAGTGCTTTTGTGTGTTCACCCTCTTATCTCCCAAGTTTATGAAACTTAAGTTAACTAAGGCATTAATGTCAGCCCGCCATTACCACATAGCAATTCGCTGAATTGAATAATCACGCTTAGAAAAGTAAGGGCTTACTTCAGGCTGGGCAGATATACATAAGGCTTTCCACAAGTTGCTCGAGATTTTCCAAAACGTTGCCCGTAATTTCTCAAAACGTTGCTCAAAAAGCAATCAAAAGTTGCTTTTTGTAATGAGATTTGCTCAGAAGTTGCTCGGAGGCCTTAATGGCATAGTTCACGCAGTTTCTTAACTGAAGATGTACGCGCCAATGCCGTTTATTCTTGTTGCTTTTGCTTTCTTCAGATCGCTTTATGATTTGATCTGTGCTGGTTGATGTCAACCAGAGGACTGAAAATCTTCTAACTATACCAGTTTTTGTTGGAGGGTGGGCGTCATGATTGCTAAAACCAGGATCGAACAATAGCCCCGGAAATGTTCTGACGGTTGTTTGTGAACCCCACTAGATCGATCATTCAGAGGCTTATACGATTGGGGGGCAAGGGTGAAGCAGAGGTGAGAGCACTCGCCTTCTACCAGTGTGGCCCAGGTTCAAATCCCGCCGTCGACGCCAAATGTGGTTTGAGTTTGACGTTGTTCTTTCCTTTGCCCCGAGAGGTTTTTCTCGGAGTACTCATTTCTAAATTCCAACTTAACTAGACGAAGAACCACTACGTGAATGTGCTACCTCTGAATCATTATTCATTATTCCTCTGTTAGTTAAAATTCATGTTAGTAATATGAAATTTCCATTTTTTTGTGGGGGACAAAGGTTAATAGTCTCATCGGCGAAGCGATTCGAATGCTTTACTGACCTTGAAAGATATTGCGAAGTACACTGATCACAGCTTGTCGAATGTTTCGCATCTTCCAGCAGTAGACCAAAGGATTGAGAGATGAATTAAGATACATCAGTGTCGTCGAATAATAAAGCAGATGCAACCGGAACTCGGACTCACCATAAATGTGATAAGCTGCTTTAACGCATATGACTGGCAAAAAACACACCACAAACACCACATACACGTAAAATGTAGTAAGTGTAGTTTTTTTCATTCTTGCAGCATTTGCCAATTCTCCATTCTGATTCTGTCCTACGGGTTGCAATTGCAGGGCGTGAATCTGATCTGTGTGGTGACGTACGATTGAATATATCTTGCAGTAAATGAATCCCGTTGTAGTGAGACAAACTGCCCCAAAAGTTGCAATTATAATGTCTGGAACGTTTTCTAAAATTCTGTTCAACGCAAATAAGGAAAAACCTGAACAGCACACCCAGACTGAAATTACAACAGTAACAACACGCCTGTGAGTCACAAGTTCCTGGTATCTCAGATGAAGATGAATGGCTAAGAATCTGTCGACAGTTAAAGCAATGATGCCCAAGAATGAAGCAGTACACAGTAAATAGCTGAAAAGGCGCTGCGCTGTGTATACCGTATAATAGAGTCTTCTGTTAGCGTTCTGTTCTATTGTCATTATAAGATTTGCAATATAGAGAGGATGGACAAGCAAACCAACACCAAGATCAGAAACAGCGAGACTTAGGAGTAATGTTTTTAAAGGCTTTGGAAACGATGATATTTTTCTTAGGGCTTGTATTGTTATGATGTTTAAAACCAAGGCTGTGAAAAGCAAGAAAGCGTTGAAGAAGCAGTTGGCGACGAGCGTTGGATAAAAGTCTCCAGTTCCTGCCATTCTGTAGGATGTTGAAAACGCGTCTTTAGCTTCTTCTGCTATTGTATAGACTGTTCTTTTAAAGAACTATTGTCGTCTTTTGACAGGCAGACGCTCTTGCCTTTGGTAAGTTACCTGATCGGTCTCCAATAGTTCAGAATGTGGTTCAAATTCTTCCTTAAATTATCGCATGGCTGAGCGACCTAGCTTGTCCTCTTCCGTACTTTGGTAATCTTGAAATTGTCCACTTACTAGACAGTGTTAAATATCAAGACGTTTGAACACCAAGAATTCCCTTAAAAAAAATTTCAAACAAGTTAATGTAGCCACATAATAACACATTCAAATTTGAATAAAATTTTCTTTTGATAAGAATGATAGATCGAGCTTAACAATTAATAAGCTTAAGGTAAAGTATACTGACGCAACTGGAGTTTTTGAGGATATGATAAATTCCAGTAAAAAGGTGATAATGATATACAGAATAGAAAGAACCTATTTAGTATTCTGGCTAAAAAGTGGCGGACAATAACTGTTACAAACTAATTGGGACAAAGAAACTTATTAAAGGCATCATTATGAAAATATATTGACATCAAGTCCAATCAAAATTTATTGAGCCCAAACAGGTGTTTTTAGAAATCGCGGAAACATAGATTCTTTTCTTTTATTTTTTTTATTTCGGGCACGGCTTTTTGTTACTTATTTATTTATTTATTTATTAATAATGTAGTATTTTTTTCAAAAATCTATTGCAAAAAGCTTAGACCCGCCGACAATAAAAACCCGATATAGTCCTCCACGACGACTGTACGGGGAGCCCCTTTTTGATACCGGCCAATGGCTGATAGGGCTCCCCTCCCTGAATAAAGTTGACTTGATTTAAGTGACCTTTAAGAGCTGTGTTTGTTAAGACATCGTCTCCTCCGTTGCTCAGAAGACACAAAAAAAATTAACTACAATGTTTTTTGTCCTTTTAATAGTTAAATACACCATTCCTGACACACAGTCATTAACAAATATTTTTGGTGAACGGAATGGCGCGACTCCGACGGTACCAGCCAACGCATGTTGCTGCCTACGTGTACAGGTACGCTACAGTCTGTAGCTGTATAACTTTTGAAGAGCTCTGCGAGTGATTTCTTTTATGGATGAGACTGAAACTTTGTGAGTCAATAAAGTTTACAATCGCAAGAAGTTCCCAGTATCCCATACTCATAACATCCGAAATATCCACTTATTTGAAATAAAAAGAATTTGAATATGACAACATCATTACACCAAAATCTGGATTTATTTTCATTTTAAACAAAACGCGAATGGCCGAGCTTTGTAAGTGTTGAAAGTTGAAAATTTGTTATGATCAGGATTACAATGACATCGGAGTTGTCATAGTAACAAAATGACGCGATTAGCTACTTTACTTGCAGCTGTATTTCTCGGCACTGGGAACTTTTCTTCCAAAATCGTTTACGTGGGCTTTTCCTCCAATAAGTGATACGATCGATGTCCGTTAAGTTTAAGTAAAATCTGTGAGAGGAACTTAATTGCTTTGGAGGATTCATCCGTTTTCGAATAAGACTGACCTTCAGCTTCCGCCATTGAATGGAAAGTTTTATACAGTCTTAAGTTTTAGCAGCTGTGTAGAACTTTTAAGGAACGTTGAAGACGCAGTTAACAATAAGTGTCAAATGTACGCCTTTAACACTTGCCATCTTTTGCAAAGGACCCTGATCAGTGTTCAGATTCTAGTATAACAATGCAAAGGAACTTCATTGTTTTGGAGGAATCATCCGTTTTCGAATGAGACTGACCTTCAGCTTCCGCCATAGAATAGAAAGTTTTATACAGTCTTAAGTTTTAGCAGCTGTGCAGAACTTTTGAGGAATTCTGCAAGAAGAGACTGATGCTGGAAATAATTCTTTACGAGACTTACCGAATATTCTCCACAGATTCTCTTCCTCCTCCGATGGCAATTGGCTTTTAACTGAGTACTGTTGAGTCTCCCGCGACAATAGTAAAAAAAGTCCCTAACTCTTACTTATAATATACAAACTGTCCTTAATTGAAATTAAAACTGTGCTTGTCTGAACCTGGAATTTAAAATTTAAATGTGACGTCCTCATCATCATAGAGCAATTTGAATATATTTTCATTTTAACTGAAATGCGATAGGTCGAGCTTTGTTCGTCAGTCAAATGGAAGAAAATTGTTTGAAACTACTGACGCATTACTAAAATGGAAACGGCAGTTGGTTTCCTATGAATGGCAAAATACACACTTTAAACAGTAAGAGTTAGCGATACTTGAAGAGAAACCAGACTTTTAATTCGCAAACCAATCCAATGTATTTCCTGGACTCATGTACACATTTTTTCATTGATAAACTACATGGTCACGCGCGACACAAAGAGTGTGAGGAGATCAAGAGAGAAAAAACTCTTAAACCATAACAAAAACTTAGGGCGCGCTTAAAACAAAGACACAGTAGCCTAGTTACTTAATAGATCATCCGGTCCTTAATATGTGTCAAAGTTTAATCGCAAATGATCGGAATATTTACGTATCATGACGGGACAGTTCGATAAGTAATCGAGTTGCAAAAAGCAAAATGTCCCTTAAATTTCAATCAACTTGGAAACTATGAAAATGTTTTCAAAAACAATACACTATCCTTTATTAACTTTAAGGCAGCCAATAAGAGGTAAGTCTTATTAGCTCCAGTTTCTTCAGTTTGATACACCCTCTTTCTTTTTTAAAAGAATGTTGTTTTCCTGGCCCAGGCTGAATATTTTTTTTTTCTGCCTATTTTAGGCTGAAAATATTCTTGTATTATTCCTGAATAATTATATTGAAAAAAGAAAGAATTTATCATGATATCTTTTTATTGACTAGTTTTGCCACAGAAATTTGAGTTAATTTTCCTTTTAACCGAAACGCGATAGGTCGAGCTTTGTAAGAGTTGAAGTTTGTCAGTCAAATGGTAGAAAGTTATTTGAAACTACTGATGCGATATTAAACTAGAAACGGCAGCTCGTTTGCAGTGAATCCTAAATACACAGTCAAACTCAAACGTTAATGCAAAAACGTCAAGATGCGAAGCCAAGACCAATACTTTTTTCTAGATTAGATACCCTTTGTATATGAGACTGACCTTCAGCTTCGCCATGAATGGAACGTTTTATACAGTCTTAAGTTTTAGCAGCTGTGTAGAACTTTTGAGGAACTCTGCAAGAAGAGACTGATGCTGGAAATAATTCTTTGCGAAACTTACCGAATATTCTTCAGAGATTCTCTTCCTCCTCCGATGGCAATTGGTTTTAAACTGAGTACTGTTGAGTCTTCCGCGACAATAGTGAAAAAAAGTCCCTAACTCTTACTTATAATATACGAACTGGCCTTAATTGAAATGAAAACTGTGCTTGTCTAAACACGGAATTTAAAATTTAAATGTGAAGTCATCACTCAGTAATTTGAATATATTTTCCTTTTAAGCGAAACGCGATAGGTCGAACTTTGTAAGTGTTGAAGTTCGTCAGTCAAAAAGGAGGAAAGTTGTATGAAACTACTCACGCAATAGTAAATTAGCATCGGCGGTAGGTTTTCAATGAATTATAAGAAAATATACAGTCGAACAAACAGAGTTGAGCGATGAATTAATAATGGTAATTGAACTGAGTGGAGTGCAATTTGGTCTGAAATCATACGCGTGATTTCAAAATCGAACGAGCACGCAGCGCGAGTTCGATTTTAAATCACAAGTATGATTTCAGGCCAAAATTTTGAAATGGCAGAATTTAGTCAGTACTAATATTTTATTGATCAAGTAGCCGGTTTGTTAAAAAGCCGAAACAAAAAGGCTTTTACATCTCATTTTACATTTCAAACAGAAATGATGCGATATAGAACAAAAATGGTGCGATTTAAAACAGAAATGATGCGATTTAGAACATGAATGACGCGATTTGGAACAGATGCGATTTAGAGCAAAAAATGGTGCGATTTAGGAATAAATCACACCGCTCAGAGCCAATCAGATTGCACGGATAGCCAGTGATTTCAAAGTGGATGTAATAAAGGGAAAAACGGACTGCTACGTCGCAAACCAATCCGGCAACGGACCTGTACACATTTTTGATAAACTACATGGTCACACGCGACCTAAAGAGTGTGAGGCGGTTTAAGACACAGCACCCTAGTTCCTTAATATGTGGCAAGTTTAATCAATTGCAAATGATCAGAATACCTGTTTATGCATGACATGGCAATCTGTTGATCAACCATGTTGAAAAAAACAATATTATGCCTCAAACTGCAATCGAATACAACAACAATCAACTTGGAAACTATGAAAATGTAGTCAAAATGAACAATACGCTATCCTTTATTAAGTTTAGGGCAGCTAATAAGATGTAAGTCGTGTTTAGCTCCATTTCCTTTTTCCTTTCTTTTTTACAAGAATATTGTTTTCCCAGCCCAGGCTAAATATTCTTATTTTTCCTGCCGATTTCAGGCTGAAAATATTCTTGTATTATTCTTTAATTGAATTTAAAAAGAAAAACATTATCATGATACTTTTTAATTTGGGGGTTTATTTTATTTCCTTTGTGCTGTGTACTGTACATGTACATAAGTTTAACATCATGATGTACCATTAATCAAACTGTCATTAGCATGAACATTTGGCTATAGTAGCTAGTGCAGGTTTTTTCATTTTGTTGGCTAGTTTTACTGGTTGGATAAAGTTCGTCAGCTAAATGGAAGTAAGTTATTCGAAACTAGCTATTGACGTGATATCAAAGTAGAAATGGCAGCTGGTTTGCGGTGAATCGTAAACACAAAGTCAAACAGAAACGAGTTTAGCAATGGTTTAGAGGAAATATGGACTATTATGCCTGAGACCAATCCTACATGTTAGCAGGACTCAAGCGAAACATACGCACATGTTTTGAGTAACTACGACTTACAACGAGTCTTCTGAGCTGAGAGAAGGAAGTTGTTCCTCATAAAAAAAATCTACT